CCAGCCTTGGGATCTGTGCTGGCCAATGTTAGATCCTGGAAGACTCAGAAGTGCAGAACCAGTAGGTTCTTCCTTATTTCCTTGTCATCCACTGGGAGAAGCTCGAGCTACACAAACCCAAATAAACAGCTGAGGGAACTCCTAACTGTTACCCACATTATCCTTTATTTTCCCTTGTTTCTTAGACATTTGGTGCTGTAGGAAACACCTGCATGGGGCTCTGGTCTTTTTCTACCCAGCTGACTTTTTTCAACCGTGCACTGGCTTGGGGTCAGCCCTCATGAGCAGGTGTTTTCCCTCAGAATAGCTTTCTTGTCTGAATCCGAGTGGATCACAAGGGCCGAACTTCACTGCCGGAGGTCATGGGTCAAACACGGCAGCACAGGGTCCCCTGGGTACCGTGCTTCCCAGGTGTTTAATATTATCATAGGTTATTTGCTGAAACCGTGATAGAGTGTTCTCAGCGATTCAAAATAAATTTAACGAGAACAGTTTTAAAAGCCCCCACATTAGAGGATGTCTGCTCAATGGACAGAGAGGTTAAAGTTAATTTGATCAGGCATGTGTACTTTCTCCAAAAAGGAACATATGCACTCAGCAGCTTGGCCCCATTTGTTGCAATTTTGGGTCTCATTTCCATTTGCAAGAAAGATAACTACTTGCATATGGAAGCAATAAATAAGAGAAGTCATTAACATTTCTCTAATTTAGGGGAAGAAAAAAAAAAGTTTTAACGAAGTAATATCTTTGCCAGGGCAGACAGAAATGTAAATTAGAGATTGGAAGGAAACCTATTAAAGGAATAGCTAGTTACTAGTCTTTTTTAATCTAATGAATTTATGAATTGCCACTTGTTAGGTCACAGACTTTGTTAATTTCCTACTTGTTTAGTTAAGCAGAGAAAGTGTAGGGCAGGAGGAGGGAGGGTGAAAGGAAAAGGCTTGTGAACAATGAACCTGAGCAAATATTTTCATACAATGTGTTAAGGCTATTAAGTTCAAAATTTTTGAATAAAACCAGCTCTATTTGAAAATCTAAGAAAGATTGGTCTGCACATTTACTCAGCAGGACGAGATGTACATTTCTGAAACTTGTGTTTATTTTTTTCACTTTTATAAACTTACACCCTTTAAAGGTGCAAAGGGTTAAAAGGTCATGACATTGACTGAATATTTTATTAAAAACAAGAAAAAATTTAAGAAAACCGTGTTAGCGTATGGTGCCAACTTAGTAATCACACATCCATGGGCAGCACTGTCAAAAGTTATAGCCATGCTGATACCTCTAGGGCTTTCTTTGGTCCAAAGCAGGAGGAAGAATTTTCATTCTCTCTCTTTTCTTGTGGATTGCAGAAGCTGAAAGCCAGTGCTCCACTTTGGTTCCCCTTTCATTGTTGGTTAGGACCTGAGTTACTGCTGAAGTGCAACAGCAAATGTTCATCTGTGAACCCACTTTGAAGAATGTCAAAGTGGGATTCTCAAGTGTCCAGTACCCAAAGGTGGGATATTTTTCTGAATTTTCTTGAAAAAACAGTTTTTATTGTGGAGGATGTGACAGAGGAGAATAAACAGCCAAAATAACAGAGCAAGTAAAGAAAAGACCTATGATAGTTCATATCAACAATGGTAGGCAAATTAGTACTCTGTGTAGTAGATAGTATTTTGCAATCTTTGGGGTAATTTCCATTACCCCAAAAAGGTAATGAAATAGTCCTACTTGCATCCATCATTACAGGCCTTTTCATAGGACCCTGTTCTGACATATAAAGAGTGAATGAATAGTACAAATTCAGTGGTGGTTTAAAGCATATGACTTAGCAATAACAATTCTAACAACTGCATTCAGCAGCATCCCCTCCCAGACAGACGAATGAGTGAGTAACATACTGAACCCTCCTACATCGACCCTGGGTAGCTGCAATTTCCTTTGTTTATGGAGGCAACCAAACACTGAAAGTAATTTCTGAATGGAGATTCTTGGTGCTTAATGAAAAATGTTCAAATAGCAACCTGTTGGGTTGGCAAGTGGCTACTTTCTCACCTTTGAGAGCTGCAGGCAATCAACTGTAACAGTATCCCCTCTGAATGGGCCAGAAAATACGGACTGAGAAAAAAGTTACACCCATATGTGTGCATGCACAAGCATATATATACACTTAGAAATTCAAACCAAACCTTGATGAGTTTTGATAAGGCCTCTCCTGCACATCACTTCAATGTAAGTCTGTGTGGTGCTTCTGGCTCCACTTAGAGCTCTTAAGTGAAAAAAACCCACAACCAAAACCCAAAACAAAGGCAGTTTTTGTTGCATTTATGGCATAAAAGAAAGCAGAAACAAATGGAAAAGTAACTAAAACGTCTGCTCGTGTGAGGCCTGTGTCTGCATTCTTGAGGGTTCAGATCGTTTGGATAAACTTGGTACAAATATCTGGACTTTTTGGTAGGTTTTCATGATGAGCCTCTGAACCTTCTGAGGCTCACAGGTGGCTAGCCACTTTTGTGCTGCTGCTGCTGTGGGGCTGGATTCAGCTTTCTTTCTCAGGCCCTTGGTACTGAAAATATTTACTAGGTAGTTAGTAGAATCCAGTGAGACAAGTCATAAGCCTGTCTTTTGGGTTTCATTGGCCACCACAAGGGAAAAGTTTATGCTAATGAATTAGTCATCAAGGGATGAAATAGGAGTTGCTTTCTGGTTCACATACAAGTCTAGACCTAAGAAGATCTAGCCTCTGTTCCAGGTCCTACTACTGACTTCCTATAGGGTTTAAACAAGCCCCTCTGAACCTCAGTGATGTGTTTGCTAAAGGGGTTTGGTCTGTGTTACAAGAATAAACTTGTTATTTGTCACATAGTATAGAAATGAGCACATTAGAAAGCCTAGAAATCTACTAAGTAATTCCAGAAGGATGAGTAGACTAGTGTGGTTTTAGTTGGCTAGTCCCAGGTACAATCCAAGAAGGAAATTCTTAGGAAGCCTAATGGACTTCAGTTACTACTTTGTTTGGTGCTCAGTAATATTTAAAACAGCTTGGATTTTAAACCACATGAAAAATATGCCACCCTGCTGTTCCCACAGGCGTGAGCCAACTACTTGAGAAACTACATTTAAATCCTGCGCCAGTAATACATTTATTATTTATGTTTTCAATTACATTTCCATACCAACCTCCTTGTGTAAAACTGAAAAATGTAACCATGCTCCCCCCAAGAATTATCCATGTTTTTCTCACAACAGACACTGTGTCTTTGAAAAGAGCACCATTCCCTGTGACCTAAGTGGCATAATTCCCACTGAAATTGGTGTAAGTCAGAGTGAGTCCTTTTCCCCTCCTCAAAATGGGTATACCGTGGAAAAGCTTCTGAAGCTGTATAAAGTCAGAGGGTCAGTTGGTGCTGCAGTGGTTGTTGAGCAGCTTGGGCAGATGACTATTAACATGAGCATTGGAGCCAGTGTGATGCCCTGGAACTGAAGTTAACATGACTATGTTTAAATGAGAAAGGGATTGAATCTTAGCTTAGGAGCATTTATGAAAAATGTCCTGGGCTTTGATAACATGAAAGATTTCAATGACCAAATACTGAAAATTTGACAACCAGCCCATTCACATACCTTAGAAGTAAAAAATATCTAAAAGCCTTAACTTTGGTGTCCTACCTGATCTTACATCAGATGATTTCTAGGGAAGTTGGGTCAAAGTGGAAAAGCCTTTGTGGTCTTTTATACCATGTCCTAAAAATATTAGTGGATCATTATGACAGCTATCAATCAGAGTATTTCTGGGTTTTCTTTCCATAAGGACTTCAGGATGAGAGACCCTCGAACACTGTAGTTTTGAAGGTCAGATCTACCTATTGTAAGGAAAGAGCATTTTGATGCATTAGTTGTATTTCAAGCACTGAACTCAGCAAAACCTGTCATTCATCACCTATACTCCTTCTCTGAAAGTAGCCTATATTCAATGTAAGAAAACATCTGCTGCACACATGCTAAAGTACATGTGACATTATGCAGTTGCATTTAAAATATTGTAAAATTACTGTGTTTTTCTATTATATTTTAAAGTATTCTGTGACACGATGTAGATTATAAAACATAAGAAAATATCACAATCCTAGTGTCGTGCTGCATGTATTAAGTAACAAGAACACTGTCAACTTTGGTAATATTTTATATGTGGAATCTGATTGTCTTTTCCATTTGTTGCCTCTCTAGTACCCTACAAAAGAAACAAAGCAATCAACCATATTGATGATTGCTAATCTAATGTTGTGTTTTTATGCTGTGACACGTTAACACTGAAAAATAGTTTCAGTATAAGGAGAAAAAAACCCAAACTCCTGAAAGGTTGATAATGCAAGAAGAGGAGAAAGGAGAGATTCCTTTTCACACTTTTCTGGAATGCAAATACATGAAAACTTCTTTGGAGGATTACTGAATCTGTACTGTTTACAGAGCTCAAGGCACCTGTTATCAATTTGATTTCTTACGTACGCATAGTTTTATTAAGGGAAGCATTGTACAGTTGCAGGATTCCAAGCACCAGTTAAAAATAATTTGAAAAGCTGTTAAAATAATTTACAAAGCCCTACTTGCTGATGTGAATTACAGTGTTTTGGCAAATGCATTTACTAAAAAGAGGAGTGTGGAGAGATGGAGCGATGGGGAGCACCTATTACAAATTTGAGACTGACAGTTTCAACAGCATGTAGCTACTGTGAATGAAATTGGGCCTATCCTCTTTTAAGTCATCGTCTTGTAATGACTGTTTCTAAAAGAAGCTCAAAAACAAGAGCCAGACTACTCCTGCTAATTATCTGATGTGTACTGAACAGTTGTGGATTAATGTGAGGCATTTCAGCTGTGGTCCGAATCCAGTGCTCAAAAAAAAGCCCTATGTTTTTTCTTGCTTATTCCTCCATCTATATTTTGCCTCTTTGTAGTGATCTTCGTTGGTTCAATTGACTAAATATAAGTGACTGGTGCTATTTGTCATGTTCTAATGTATGCAAGAAATCCACACACATGGCAGAAGCATCACAAGAACTTTGGGACACCTGTGTTACCTGGAGCTGCAGATGGAGGCCAGGTGTGGTAAGCTAAGGCATCTCAAGGACAGTTGAAAGGAATCTGTATTTAGACTGAATCAAACCCTCTCTGAAACTGTAAAGGTCTCCCAAAAGCCCTATGTCTTATCTGCAAGTTCTAAGCAGAATTTTTGAATACCCTATGGTGTTTCAAACGATGGCCAGCAATAGCACTTAGGAACCAAAATCTTGCACTCTGGAAATGTTCCAAGGATTAATGGTGTTAAAATTATTGCAAATTAAAATGAAATTTGTTCTTCTAGAAGGGGATTACTTTTGAAATTCCATCATGCAGTACTAGCACTCACCCTAAAGTGGACCTCTATTTTTCATCCAATTGAAAATTCATCTAGATTTCTTTGCACCTAAACTTAGGTGCCTTCTGCCACCTAAGATGCCTTATAGTATCCAAAACATCTTTATAAGGCTGGCAGAGGTGACACAAGACCCACGCACTACTGAAGACCCATGCATTCCTGGAGTGGCAAAATGGTATGTATGTCAGGAATATATTACATATGGGTTGAAAACAACCATGTCAAAGCGAATTAGGTGAGCAAACCTACTGAAAACCATTGATTGTCTTGATAACCTCCTTTGACTACAATGTGAATGTAGACATTAGTCGAGGGAAGACTGCATTTAAATACCTGTTGTTTCAGAGGGAGTCCTGCCCCAACTCCCTTCAGCTGTCAGCCGGTTCTTTCCAGGCACAAAAATTTTCCAGTCTTCATGCTGCTGCCAAAGTTTTGCCACTGGGTTCAATCCATAAAATATTGGCACTCTGGACATAAAAAATATTTTAGCTGTGGACTTATTTAAGTGTCCAAAATCCCAAGGATTGTCCACCAATTCGCAGGAATAAAGCTGTAAAACTGGCTTTGTCTTTCTTCATTTACAGAGTGCCAGACCTATTTCTCATATAACATGAAGAAGATGACAGAAGAAAAATAATCTTTTTGCATCAGCTGAGGTGGTTCAGTGTTTATGAAGAACTGAGATTTTATTTGCGAAATCTTACTGCTCAACTTCAGTAAGTTAAGGAGTTTCTAATAGTCTGGGACAAATTATTACTAAATTGTACAGGAAGAAGCAAAACTTGATTGTTCACCTCATAATACACACAACTTCCAGTGCCATTTTTTATTTCATTGGTACATAGAAACATTAATAGCCTTCTCAGTGGGGATGTTTTTCCCTGCCCTGATCTTTCGTTAGTGACTGTCCTCCATACAGATTGTTGTATAGTATTTATGTATGTTTCCATGGACCCATTTGCTGTGAATTGATTTCATGATCAGACCGTATGCAATGACTCATTTATTAGCTCTAAACTCTCCTTATTTGCACAGACTACTTGTATTGATATAATTAGCTTTGAACAACCTCAGTAGTCCTGTTCATGGCCATGAGCTTTTAAGTTATAAGCTCAGTTCTTATCAATGTTCAACTGGCAAGTTTTCAATCAGTTCTAATTAGACTCATGTTAGAAGAAAAAGGCATAGCAAAAAAAAAAACCCTGACAATAGAGATACATTCTTAGTGGCCACAGTTTCTTCATTACACACTCAGACAAACATATCCATGTCATTGGTACTTGAGGATTTTACAGTGTCTGAAATGCTTCTAAATATGAATTACATATCTGAAAATTATTAATGACATTCCTGGCATTCCATTAATGTTATTTATTATTTATCGTGTGTGAGACGGAACTGCCTAGAGGCCTTTGCAAAGGATCAAGGGCCCGTTGAGCTAATCTCTTGCTAGGCATATCAATCCAGATGGATGAGCAAATGCAGAAGCACATGGCAAGCAGCAAAACCTGTTTGTCAGTTCAGCATTCCAGCCTGCAAAATACAGATCTAGCACTGAGGCAGTGGCACAGTTTACACTAACTGTTACCATCAACTGTCACAGCTGAAAGGACATGGACTGAACAAAATCAGGCTGGTTTTAGACTTATTTACTATGAATCGTCTCAGCTGTTCTTTGGCCTGAAAAATCATGTTTTCTAAAGGAGGCTTTGAAGGTAGGAGGAAGTGTACAGTTTGTTTTTAAACCTGTGATATTGACTCAGAGTGTGGCTGAGGAGCACAAACATACTGGGAAATGGGAAGGTAATCCTTTTTACCTTATTATTAAGCATCATCTCATAGGACTTTTAACTCTGGCAAAAAAGGAAAGCAATATTAGTGCCGTGTTGCACCCATTTTGTGTATCAAGTGGACTTTCTTTGAAAAAGGTGGCATTAAAAATCCTCTTCTGATGTCCGCCGTCAGAAACTTTTTCTACCTGCCATTGATAATGTATTTACAGATATTTCTACTTCCTAACCCTCTTTCTCCACCTTTTCCTCTCTGCACAATTTGGAGGAAAAGGACTCGCTGGTTAGGGGCTACTCAGTGACCAAGAAGACCTGGGGTTAATGATTTCTTCTGTTGCAGGTGTCCTCAATGAGCCTGGGTCACTTGTATGGGTTTTCTTAACATTTTTTCCCCCTGTATTTTTATGGAAGATGAAGTTGTCTTCCTGTGGGGCCATAAGGATTCATGAACTTGTTATTGATAGGTGGTTTCAGCTTTTCATCTCCTGCTCTTCCACATCACTTTTTTAGCTACCTTTGCTTCATGATCTCAAGAGAAAGAAGGGTTGGGAGGCTGGTGATGAAAGATGCCAGGAGTTCAAGGATGACAGCAGGGCTGCTGTGTGAGGCTGGTGCTAACAGCTGCAGTCCTTTATTAACCATCACAGTTTCTCCCTTTAGATTGCTCATGCTCAAAGGCCTCTGAAAGCAGCTTAGAAAATACAACTGAAATCAGGAAATTTCCAAACTGCAACAAGGCCCAATAGCCAAATAAAATAAATGAGTCGGTCTACAAAATCCTTGTAACTTGCCACCCAACAACAATAAACCAACCTTGAGACAAGCTAGAAAGGAAACAAAGAAGCCTTTTAATTATTTACAGTAGGCTTATTGTGGCTAAGTAAACATTGGCCAAAGACTTATAAAGTTAGCCTCAGTAAAGCTGGCTTATGCAGTTGTATATAGCTGCAGCTTTTTTAACAGCAGCTTTTTTAACCAGTTCCAGCCTAGAATAAATAAAACATAACTCCCAGCAGAAGGGCTGTTAACTTTGAGATGGTTTTCCACTTACCAACTTTACTATAGTCATTTTATAATAAGATAAACTTATTATCAATTTTTGTCTTAAATGGGGTAATCATAGAGCTTTAGAGACAGAAAATAGTGTGCTAGCAGAAGAAAGCTTCCTGGTGTGGGGAAAAGGTAGTCCCACTGCACCCAGAGGTTTCTACTAACCCCCTGATCTATGCTCTGAGGTGGCTGCTTGTAACTCCTGGTGCATTTTTGGGTCTACTTGTGAATGCTTTGGGTATTATGCCCTGTCCAGGGGATGAGGAGCATGTGGGACCTAATGTCTCTTAACATGCCATGTGAAGGTGAACAAGGCAGGGTGCCTGGCCCTGGTGAGGAGCGGGAGGTAGACAACAAGCTCAAGTCAATCCAGCAGTCCTGCCCACAACTGATATCTAGTAAAAAAGCAAGTGAAGAAAATAAGAACTTCAAATGTACATACTCATTTGTACATACATATTAAAAAAAAAACCAACAAACACAAACAAAAAACAAACACAAAAAAACAACCAAAAAAACAAAACCCAAACATCCACAATGAAACAAACTCTTCATCTGAGGAGATTTGTGTGTGGTGGAATTAATGAAATATGAGCATGTGTTTTTCTGTGTATTTAAGTAGGATGGCTGTTGAAACTCCTCAATCTCATATATGGCTTCACCCATTCCTCCTTTCTTTCCCCTTCCTTTCCCTCAGCCCCCATCTCCCTCAGCTCCATCCTTCCTCCCCCAGTCCCAAACCAGCAAGCATGGTACTGTGGTTCCCATTCACCTGCTCACCATCCTGTGGCAAGAGGCACCATATAACAGTGGTTGAGTTTCCATTAATGCCTTTCCTTCAGTGATTCATTGCTTCGGCTTTCTCACCTCTGCCCTGTCCCCAGATCTTATGAGATTTGCCAACCCTGAGAGCACAGCCATTTCTTGAATTTTGTTGAAGTTGACTACAAGTTTCCAGCAGATGGAAATGTATGCACTCTACTGGTGACTGAGATTATAATCAGATAAAATACTTGTAGTCAACTAAGTACTTTAGAAATTAACACACCAGCCAACAAAAATGGCAGCAAATCCCACCTCACTTTTAAATTAAGTCTTTTCCATCAGGGCTAACAGATGATTTTTGTGACAAAGGCTACAGCCCAAGAAAGGCAAGAAATTTCAGAGCAGATGGCATACAAGTGCCAAAAAATGGTTGGCCAAGGCTTGATACTCCTAGTTCTTCTAGGGTAAGATGGAGATGTAATTCCAATGTTTCTGAATATTTGGTTTTGGCTTTGGCCAGAGTTTCAGCAAGGAGTAAAATGTCTTATCACTCAACAAACTCCTCGTTATTTTAATGCATAAGGTAGGGAAGTGACACTACTGCCTACAAAAAATGAGTGTGTTTTGATTTTTTATTTGTAATGGTGTATTGTTCTAACCACTCTACTCTTTCTCAAGAGTCTTTTATTAGACAGTGCTGTCTTTTACGTCAAAATCTTCAACCTTTGCTTTAAGGCTGTTTTCTGACTTTCTGTTCTCACATGCTTACTACTCTCCCACTTAGTCTTCCACTTGCCTAGGTCTCCTTCTGCTTGCATCTTCTGTGTTCCCTATATAGCTGCTAGGCCTCCTCCAGTATAAGGAGGATATATAAACAAGTACTTACCTGGTGTTGGATTCAGCTATCTTTTCCTTGCAGAGCACAACTTCCTGCAGATCTAGTCCTGATCTCCTCTCTCCTAACTTTAAAGTTATAGTCTGCAGTATAGCAGGATGACAATGGTAGTGTGTGTTTCCTCCCTCCCCAGCCAAACAGTTAAAAATCTATGCAAAATGCAAGAAAAAGAAACGAGAAGTTCTGCTTTACCTTGCTGCTTGTGGCTTTTGTAGGCAGCATCTGTCCAGTTTAGCAGAGTTATCACAGGAGACAAGGCATTATGCATTGCAAATCAGGAACTCAGTATTATGTAGCAATTTAAAAATGAAAGTACAGCTTGAACGAAATACAACTCCTGGGCTACCAAACACATAGGAAGCCAGGAAAGTAATTGCAAATACAGATAGAAAGGAAAAAAGGGACACTAGGGAAATGTCTTACAATATTTTCTAGCAATCAGTCAGTAGTTTGTTGTCTTTAACATGGCTCAAAAAAAAAAAAAAAGAAAAATCCTATAGGTTAAATTAGGTTGAACTTTACGTTTTGGGGTTTTCTTGTTCGTTTTGTGTGTGTGTTTTTTGTTTTTTTTTAATTAAAAAAAATTGTACAAGCCCCACAGGAAAAAAAGTCAAGCATGTAGTTTCCTTTCAATATATTCAAATGATAATAGTTATTTGGAGCATAGGGTATGCCAGATGGTATCACTTGAGTAGTTTATCTACTTTCCAGTAACAAGCTATATAAAATACTGATCACTGGGAGTTTTCGTAACACCCAGCAAAGAGTTTATCATAAACACTTTTAACTCTCTTAATAACCTTTCTTTTAACTAAAGTGTCATTTTCATTGGGTTTATTTAGCACTGCTATTGCTTTGGCAAGAAGGAGAGGAGCATATTTAAAAAAATATTCACATACAGGGAAGACTTTCAGGTAAATCTTTGCAGAAACCATTGATGTTGTTGTAAGAACATCTAATGTAGAAATATACTTTTGATCAAATGAACCTTATCCTTGTCCATGTTTTGACATACTTAATGAACTCCAGACAAGGACTAAGATTATTTCAATGAGAAAATGGTCAAAGTGATTTCATTTTGCTAAGACAACATTTTAATTTCAATGTAATTTATTATTTTTCTTGAAGGGAAGGGAGGAGAAGGAAAGGAAGGGAAAGGAAAGGAAAGGAAAGGAAAGGAGAGGGGAAAAGGAATGAAAAATATCATTTAACACTGGCCTGTTATTTTAACTAAGCACATGTCTTTTAAATGGTAATTTATCCTAAATGGGCAAACACTAGCTGTTGTACTCATGCCTTTCAACTAGTGCCATCATTTTAGAAGAACTAACATAGGCTGAAGTATACAGTGAGTTTGTAAAGACTTCCAGTTGGCTCCAAGCATATTTCCTGATTGGTGTTATTTTTCTATAGCTTCTGGATCTCAGGCAAACATTTAAGCTTGGCTTTAGGTTTATGCCGGGAGAAGTATTGGCCCAGATATCAGGTTTAAAGACACATCACTTTCCATCTTCCTTTCTTCTCTTCTCTTTCTAATTCCAAAACAATAAACTCCTAATAAAATGGACTGTTATTTTAGTTCTTCAGAAATAATATTGTTCTAGGAGGAAAACCAGTTCACAGATGGGCATTAAATTTGGCTGTAAAGAAGACTTCTTACTTCTAAAGCTGCTACCAGTGTCTGGCTGTCTGAAGAAAGAGCAGATAACACAGGGAAAATGATGGTAATAAAACCTCATATTCCCATGTAATGATAGAGTTATTTATTCTCTTGGCTAAATCTCTACAGTTTGGTGAGATTTGCTGAGATCAGTATTACTGTGAATATTACAGTGTCTGGAAATCACCCGCTGTATTCTTCCTGAGCACTTAGTACAGTAATCCAACCTTCCTTACCCAAACCAGACTTTCACTCGACTCAGTAGTCAATTGCTGGGACTGCAGATTTTTAAGAAAAGTTAATTTTATGCATTATTTATCACAGAGTACTAGAATTTTAAGGCTATGAGAAAAATATTTTTGAGTTACTGTAATAAACATCGACACTCTGTGGAGCTGTCAGTATTAAAAAAGAAAGAAATTCAGCTGATGATATTTCTTCCATTCTAAGGTGTTGTTTATTATACAAAGAGAGTTCACAAACCAGAAAGGATTTAAACCAGAAAGAGTGATTGGCCAATTTCTAAACATGAGTAATTCTTAGTTTTATGTACACCTTTCTACAGGGTCAATTATAGTTTTAATGAATATTTGAATATCAGACAGTGCAAGATACTGTCCTTCTATGCAAATCTATGGGTGTTCTGACCTTGCACAACAGGGCCTTTACAGATTGTTTTGGTAGAGAGGGGGAGACAAATTTTTTAGTGTTTTTTCATCTCTCACTTGAAAACACTTGTCATTTAAAGGAAAATGAAAGATATCCTGTACAGTCTTCTTCACAGGATTTCCATCCTCTTCTGATCTTGTTTTGGCTTGTCAAAGCTGCAGCGTCACTTTAGTTTAGCACTTCTGTTTCTTGCCTTGGCTGTAGACATTGAAAGGAAAAGAAGCACAATTAGGATATTTGTTTTGTAAAAGATGGAATCAACAACCGTAAGATTTGGAGTAGTCTCTATTTCCTTCAGTAAAGTTTGTCTAAACGAATTCCCCCCAAATCTGTCCTGAAACAGAAATACCCTCAACTGCATAGCCAGCAGTGATTATTTAGTACAAGTTGGATCTACCTCTGAGTATGTTGGATCAAATTCA